AGGCTTGTGACCTTGAGGTCCTCTTCTTGCTTGCCCCGTGGTGCATGCTTTTGAGTCCAGGAGCACAGTCCCATCTGCCATTTTAGCACACAGCTCCAGTCCCCTGCCTTTCTGACTCTTTCCAGGCTGTTTGTCAGTCCTCTGGCCAGCAGAGAATCATGTCAGCCTTGTCTGTGATTTTGAGGTTTCAGTGTTGCCGCTGAAGAGCTGAGTGAGGCAAATTTGCCTCCTGAGAGCATTAATCCAAGTAGCAAGTTATTAAGTTTGAAGACATACACATATAATTTACATTTCCATAATCATAACGTGCTGCCTGAATAGTCATCTGGTGATGGATAGAATCTTAGTGATGCCATCTGTTGGGTCAGATTGAGATTCTTCAATGATCTGACTTGGTAGGATGCAAGCCAACCCCCAGGTTGAGTTTCTCCACAAACACTGGGGGACCAGCATGGGAGCACGTGCCTGCAGTGGACTCCCCTAGATCTTTCTTTTTAACCCTGGCTCAGCAAATTCCCGAGTGATAAGCACTGTGCTAATAGAGTAGGATTGTGATCTTTCTTTCACAGGAGAGAAACATCAACAGAGAGGTTCAGTAACGTGTGGGAGGTGGCACAGCTAATAAGCAAGTACTTCAGGAGTCTGGCTAATTCTGCAGGTTGCCACAGCAGGAAAGAGGTGTGGTTGACAGATGTTGCCCACACAACATATACTGGTGGAGAATGCAGGGTATGTGAAGGTCGTTATTGGGTGCCATTTAGCAGGCAGCTGCCTGCAAAGAACAGGGACTCCGGCCCTAGTCCCTCTGGAGGGGTGTCTCTCCAGCCCTCAGGCCCCTCTGAAGGCCCCCTGCTACCCACGACAATGCTGAGCTGGAGTGTGCTCCTGCCACATCTGAGACACCCTCCCCACTATCTGCCCTTCTAGTGTTTTCTTAAACCCTGTTGGGTCCTGTTGAGATGGAGTCTCAGTGCCCCCAGGTTCTGTCTGGATCAGGTTCCGAGTCTAGTAGCAACCAGTTCAGCGTGGTTCTGAGTGTGTCAATGAGGGAAACTGAGGATAGTTTCCCAGGCCAGGAGTTGGGTCCAGGCTCCATGCCTGCCTGGAGTCTGCTCTTGCTTTGCCCCAGGCCCCTGTCTCTTCACTGCCGCGACCTGTGACCCCCGTGAGGGTAAGTGTAGCGTGTCCTTCTAAAAGCAGCCTGCACCAGAGAGACATTAGCAACCAGTGTGTCCGACCTGCTCCCTGCCAGGTGCAGAAGCAAGGCCCAGTGAGAGGAGGCCGGAGCCCTGGTCATCCAGCCAGCCAGAGGCTCTGCGAGGGCCTGTCTGGGTCTGAGGGCAGCCAAATGCTTTTGGAGTCTGCCCCACTGCCGGAGGCTGCTTGCTTCCAAGGCTACTTTGGTGAGGGAAGTGGCTGATTCTTTTGAGAATGAATGGCCTGGTGCACCTAACCCGGTGGGTGCACAACCCGGCCAGGTGCACAACCCCTCCCTGGCCTGAGCCTCAGGGCTCAAGGTGGCAGTGGCCAGCCGGTGCGCAAGGCTGGTGGAAGGCGAGCAGGGTGACTGTCACCAACTCACTGGAGGAAATGACTCCTTTTCAGTCCACCCTTACAAATAAGCTAGTGGCTGTTCATAAACATGGAGACAAGGAGACAGTAAGAAGGGGAGGACTGCCTTAGACTAACCTCCTCCTCCCTGAAACACATACACGCACACACACACACACACACACACACACACACACACACACACTCCTTGAGTTCTGAGCACTGCAGAGTTGGAAGTGCTGTCTCGAGAATCTTGTGTTTTTCACTTTTGCCAGAAAAACACGGTGGCAGGGGATGATGACACTCTTGCTTGCTCTCCAAGACCCACTAAAAGCCCGTATTTATTCCTCCAAAGCGCCAGTCTCAGCCTCCTGAGTGTTCTAAGCTTGAGTGACTCTCAGGTTCCCTGGTCCCATGGGCTGGGGGGGCGCAGGTATAGAGGGGACGCAGCCTGCCCAGAGTGGGCTTCTGCATCTGGACTGGGCCTCTCATAGCTGTACCCTCCCTGTGCCTTTCCTTTTTGGCTAACAGGGCCCCCCACCCTGTGAAATATTGGGGGCAGGCAGCAGGTGGGAGACTCTTTGACCTCCTGGGCCCTCTCCAGCACCAGCTCACGGTGGTGTTCTCATCAAAGGCATTAACCTCCTCTCCAGGCTCAAGGTTGCCGCTTGCCTATTTATAGAACTGACCAAGAGAATTCCACTATTGCCGGCGACTCAGAATACAGATTGGGCTCCGTGCAATGCTTTTCAATCACTCCCCACCTTCTTTTTGAACTCGGACTATGCTTTTCTGCACCAAGTGTTCCTTCTCAATCCAGATGCTCTGGAAAGAGGAGAGCGGGTGGCAGGGCTTGCTGAGCTCCTACTGTGTGCAAAGGCTCTAGAGCTCCCTTGTGTGGTCTCCTTGAATCCACCCAATCCTGAGAGGTGGGCACTGTTCCTTCACGTGTGTAGCTTGGAGCAGGGAAGCAGCTGGCCCAAGACAGAAGTGCAACTTACATCCCATTCTGCAGGACTCCACAGCCTGTGTTCTTTCCACTCACAACCCTTTGTTCCTTTCAAACTTAACCTTTCAGATCAGATGAGTAAGGTGATGCCTGTGGATGTTATGGCTTCTTTGAAGGTCATGTTTACTTTCTTTCTCACCTAATCAAGTCAACCTTTTCTGAGGACCCATTGTGCGCCACACAAAGACTCATCTCTCACTCGGCTGCAGGCATCATGGGGACCTACTGTGTGCTAGGTGAAGCTTTGTCTCATACTAAGTTGCGGGCATCATGATGACCTACTGTGTACCAGGCTGCAAGTGTCAGGAGACGTTGCCCTCTTTGTTTTCCCCAGGCTTTGCACATAGTAGGCCCTTAGCAAACCCTTGTCCAATGAACAATGGGGCTCAGACTCATAGTTTGTCTAGGGAGGTTGCAGAGAAGAGGCCGGTCAGGTCAGAGCCATTGCAAACCAGCGCCTTCATAGAGGAGGGGGCGTCAGGAAGATCTCTGGCAGGTGCAATGGCCTTTGAGGCCTCTGTGATGCCGCTGGTGCCCTGTGACCCACTTCCCCACTTGCTCTGCAGAAGCCCACTTGGTCTTTGCCTCCCCATCCTGCATCTCAAACTCAGCGGAGATTTCCCCTCTAACTGTTCTATCAGGGGAGTCCCAAGGAACGCTAAAAGAACACTGTAAATCTTCCCCTGCTCATCTTCTCAAAGTCGTTTTTAAAAGCAGAATTTTGGAACGCTGCCATCCTCTCATTATCCCTCCTCCGGGGACTGGCATTAAGCCGTGGAATTGAGGGAGCAGGTGCCTCCCACTTGCTGTTCCTCCTCCAGGAGAGGTTCAAATGTCAGAGTGTCCTCGGGCAGTGCCTGCCCCGCTGGGCGACCCACTGTCCTTGGAAGTTCAGCCCTTGACCCCCTTAAGTCTATCAAGAGTACTGGGTAGTCAGTGGAACCAAATGCAGCAGATTCAGGCAAGTTTGGGGGAACTTACAGCAAAGCGTAGTTCCCCTCTCCTTTTAGGCATGGCGATGTTTTCTGATGTTGAAAGCAATATACCCTCATTCTAGAACATTTGAAAAACATTGGAAAACAGGAAGAACCTAACAATAATCACCATACTCCTGCCTCCCTGGCCAGAAGCAAGACTGGTATCTTGGCACACCTCTCTTCTGTTATGTTTTTTTCCTATGTGATTTTTCTCTTAACATAATTGAGATCATACTATCAGACATGTTTTCTATCCTTTGACACCACTTAATATTAAAATATATCACATATCCAAGGCATCACAACCTCCTTGTAATGATTTTAATGTAATTTTAAAGGCAATGTGAATCTTTGTAAGTGTAGGTACTCTGTTTACTCAAGTTTCCCCCGTTGGGGGAGGTGCTTGCTTTTAACCTGACTTCATTCTGCTCCAGGTGCATTGTGGGAGAGCAACATGGCTGATCTCTGCTTCCACCCAGAGCACACCTTGGACTTAGCTCTTCTTGTGGTCCTTCCATCCTCAGGCTGGAAATGTAAAGGAAAGTGGTCTCTCTACTCAAAATTAGTTGCCATGTGAGAGGGATATCTTCCTCAGTGTGTGGACAGGCAGCTCCCCTCTGTTTCTTCACCAGCACCAAAGGATCCCTCCCCCACAAGACTGGCTTCCTTGAGGATTTCAGGAGCTAAAGCATAGCAGATATTCTGCAGTGTCTGACACATCCAGACCCTTCTGGATGCTAAGGAATCTCTACTGTTAATGTTTTCTCTCTTAACTCTCTTGTTTGGGATCTAATAAGGGTTGCCAGGAACACCCCCACGTCTGTGACATAGAGGGACTCAGAGGTTGCCCATATAGCTGTACTCAGCACATGGCTGAGATCTCTTACAGTGAAAGGACACACTTCAAAATGAGCCCTGGGGAAAGGCATGTGGGGTGGTCTGGGGGACAGCAGTCTCAAGCTTCCAGCCCTCTCCCCATGCCAGCACACAAGAGGTACTCGATCCCCCCCATCCCTGGACTGTGACAACACATGTGACATGTTCCCTGCCCAGGATGCCCATGGCCTTTTACTGGGACTGGTCACGTAGGATCCCTCCGACTGTGCCCACATTCCAGACCCAGGTGTTCAGCATAAGCCGCACAGTGTGCACACACAGTCTAGCCACAGGGACCCCACTAGTCAGGGAATGGTGGGACCCCTCAGAGCCAAGTCCCCGGATGCCAGTCAGGTGTTGTTAAGGATGATAGTCTCTAGCTGCTCAGCAGAGGTATGCTGGGAGATCAAATTTCCTGTGTTTGAGCCATTTCAAGATGGAGGTGGGACAGATGTCCTTGTCTCCATCTAACTGAGGGTTAGAAAAAGAAAAGGACTTGGGGACTGACCTCCTCCAAGTGTAGGGTCAAGTTCTGGGAAATGGGCAGGTGTTCCTTTTTGCTAACTCATGTGTCCCTCTCTCTGTAGGCTCTCAAGGGCTCCAAGAAGCTGGTGCTGTCAGTGTACTCAGCAGGGCGTGTCCCAGGGGGCTACATCACCAACCACATCTACACCTGGGTGGACCCCCAGGGCCGCAGCATCTCCCCGCCCTCCAGCCTGCCCCAGCCCCATGGCAGCAGCGCACTGAGGCAGAGAGAGGGGGACCGGAGGAGCAACCTGCACCTCCTGCAAGGCGGGGATGAGAAAAAGGTGAGCTGCCTGACCCCATGGCATCAGCTGGTGGAGAGAGGCTGGGCTCTGAGACCCCATTCTCCTTGCCAGTTCTAATCCAGGACAGCTTCTTAGAGTCTAGAAGAAGGGGCCTGGTTCCGTGGGGGCTCTGTCCTCTTTCTCTCCCTCAAGTCCCCAGTGATCGGCTTTCCTTTTACTTTCTTTCTGACTGTGCAGTGTATATTATGATGCAGGCTAAACTACTGCAACACAAGGGCCAAATACTGTGAATTAAATAACACAGGTCAATTTCTCCTGCTGGCAGAATAGAGGGCACTGTCTAGGACAGTAGGCAGCTCTGTGCCTGCCTCATTCTGGGACCCAGATCCCCTCCACTATCCTCATCATCTCGGATATTGCCCCCTTCTGATGGGTGGGGGGGGCACACCCACTCTATAGAGAATTGAAGAGGGAAGAGAGAAAGCCCAGAGCTTCCTTTTAAATTAAATATGCTCTATAAAAAAGATGAAATCTTGCCATTTTTGACAACATGGATAGAGCTGGAAGGGATTATGGCTATGAAATAGGTCAGATGGAGAAAGACAAATACCAGATGATTTTACTCATGTGTGGACTATAAAGAAACAAAGGAACTGACAGAACTAAATCAAAACAAACCCTAGAAATCTGACTGCAGTGTTGAGACTGCCAGCAGACAAGGGAGAGAGGGTGAAGACTCAAAGGGGAGGGGGCCTACTGGACTATGGTAGAAGATTATGGGGGCTTGGTGCTGTGGTGTGGTAATATACATTTTGTAAAAGATTTCTTTTATTTATTTATGCATACAAGAATTGGGGTGTAGGCCAGAGGTGCAGGGGGTGAGAGGATTCACCAGAGACAGAGTGGGGAACAGAACAGACTGACTAAAACACACTGCTAAGGGGAGCCCCGAGTGAATCAGGAGAGGTCTGCTGCATCATGTGAGTCAGCTCCCTAAATGGGCATCGAACTGGTGCTGCAGTGGCTGGCAAAATCTTCATAGTGCCGACGCTGAACCCCTTTTGCCACCAGAGAGGCCCATAATTTACATCTTAAGAGGTATGAACGTGTGCCCCTAAATCATATACAGTGTTGTAAACCAGCATTATCTGAAAAAAAATAGTGTAATTTTTTTTTTTTAAATATACATTTAGATGGGATACAGCTTCTTAGTGATTCAGACCCAGACACAGGACACACGCAGATGCTGGGAGCCAGGGCGCTACAGGAAGCCTTCTGCACTGTGGGTCTTGGGCTGTAAGCAACAGGAATTTGTCCTGGTCACCTACTGCAAAATAAGGTTTTCCTGGAAGGGTGTGGCCCTCTCCTTAAGTTAAGGTCCCAGGAGGGAGCACTTGATTGACAGGATCACCAAGACTATAGCCCGTGGGGGAGGGGTGGTTACCCAAAGCACTTTGGTGTGTTGTGACCTGAAGAAGGTGGACAGGGACTTTAATAGATAGCCCCTAGAGAACCCTGCTTACCCCCCAGTCCTTGGCTATTTCCTGGGGGGAAAAAAAAAGGACTGAGAGGCAGCCCCTTGGTGTTTTAAACTTTGCTCTGGATACTGTTTGCCTTTTGCCCCATGGTTGCCCCTGAGACCAAGAATGTAATTCTTGAAAACAGCTCCTTGGTGTTTGAGGACCTCTGCACCTCCAGCCCAGAGGCCACATAGCTTGGGGGCTCTGAGCCAAGCGCCTTCCCTCAGAAGAGTCTTTCTCATCTCTCCTTTTCTGTCAATAAGACTGTAACATTTATTTAATGTGTTTTGTGTTCTTTGCTCAAACGTCGATAATGCTGGACACTGCAGAGAAGGCGGCAGCTTCTGTGCCAGACAAGAGGCAGCGGGGTAGCTAGTTGGGAAGCGAGGCCTGAGCCTGCCTGGCTGGCAGGGTCAAGGTGGCTGAGCTGGCGGGGTCAGAGGTGACGCTGCTTTTTGGCAATCTGGAGCTGCCTGTGGTGTTGGAGTCATTTTCAAGGCGGGTCTTCCAGGGTTGGGCGGGAACTTGCTTTATCATTTCCTGAAGTCCCTTCCCTGCACAAGGCTTGATGCTGAGTGGTAATTATGACTGATGGAGACCTTGCTGCATGTGGCTGCCTGCTGGCCTCTGCTCACACCATCATCCCGGATCCTCATGGCCACCCCACGGGTAGGAGTCCTTGTCTGCATTTAATGGATGCGGAATCTGAGATCCTGAGAGCCCTGCAGCAATCAGAATCCATTCAGAGTCTCCCTATACTCCGTGAGCACCTGTGGTGTGCCTGACACGGTCCTGGGAGGTGGAAATAGAGAGAAATGGACAAGAGAGATGAAACCCTGCCCTGGGGAACCTGCCAGTGAGTTTGAAGGTCATGGAGGAGTGAGATAATAATCCAGAAATGAGCATGTGTGAGCAAGATAACTGAGGTAGTGAAGATTGATGGGAGGAAATAAAAGCCAGGACAGCAGATAGAGAATGATGGGAGGGAGGCACTGCTTCAGATGAGATGGTCAGGGATGACGCCACTCTGAGGAGATGACTTCTGACCTAAAACCTAGAGAGGAAGGAGCCTCTTTGTACCATTTTGGGGCTTCAAAGTCCCAGGCAGCAAGGACAGCACATGCAAAGGCCCTGAGGTAGGAGTGAGCCCTCATCTTCAAGGCTTAGAAGTAAGGGCCTTGTGGCTGGACTGAAGTGGGTGGGAGGGTGGGGAGGAGATACTGTGCCCTCTGGAGGGTCTCAGAGTACAGTGTGGGAAGACAAAAGGCAGAGACTGAATCATATTCCCAGGAAGACCCAGGTACCTCAGGAGAGAGGAAATAGTAAGAATGCAGATCTCATCCTTCTACCCTCTATGCAGACTGCAGACTATTTTCATGTTGGAAACCCCCATTTGCCTGTTTTTGGGGGGAGCATGGGGGCAATATCTCTGGAACTCTCACTTCCAACTCCGTGGACCTGACTCTCTTCTCTCCAGTGGCCTGGTTTCATCTTCTCATATTCCAGATAGTGCTGAACAGACTCCCAAATCCTAACTCAGCTCCAGTGGAGACATGCCTTTTAGGGAAATTGATAGGGGCCTAGGGAGGAAGAAAAGGGCATTTCGGGGTGAGATGGCAGAGCACTTTCTTCAGGGTGCTATGTCCACCGTTCTCTCAGATCAGTGACCAGGAGCTGATCTGAGGGAGCTGAAAAAAATCAAAGCATTTATCGATTCATTTGCTGTCTTTGCTTACTGTCCTCTGTGGTGACAGGCAGCACCAGGGCCTGGGCTGTTCCGCTAACAAAATGAGTTCTTATGGCAACAGAGATGTAAAAATCACCCATGTAGCAAAAGTACCTGGGAAACCCCCTAGATTGTCCACTGAAACTGGTTTCACTTTGGTAGCCTTTCCTGGAACTGCTTTTCTACACTCTGAAGTATGAGAATCATTTCGTGAGACTGAAGGAAGGAACAGAGGGCAGAACATATGTGACTCTGGGAATCAGAGCTTCTCACGCTCAAGTCACTGCCTCATCCTCAGAGAACAGGGAGCAGGGGTGCTCACTGCTCCAGCTTCCCATGCTGGGCAAACCCTCTGCCCCTATAGCCATAATAGAGCAGAATACATTTGATGCAGAGGCTAAACGGGAGAGCATCAGTGTGGCAGGGATGGTAAGACAGTGAAACCAGACTGCCTGGTTCAAATCCTGGCTCTGCCACTTGTTGACTGTGTGACCTTGGAGAAGTCACATACCTCTCTGAGCCTTGGTCTCCTTCTCTAAAATGGAGACAGTGATTAAGCCCAGTCTCCCCACACTGGGTGACCTCCATGGAGGTAAGGATTCTGATTCTGTGCCCTGGTATACCTATAGTGCCTGGCACAACAGTTGGTAAATATTTATGACCTGAGTGACTGAATGAAAACCCAGGCTCAGTTCATGGTACAGGATCAACAAACGTTTGCTGGGTGTGAATGTAAGTTGTGTTTGATCAGACCCATGCACACCCTGTTCTTTGCACCCAGAACCTGACCCTGCTTCCCAAGTTGGCATTTTTGTTATGACCTGGATACCTGTCCTGTGGCGCTAGGGGCTGGTGCCTGACCCCTCATACTCCAGGAAGAAAAAGGCATGTCCTCCATCCCTGCCTCCTCTGCTTCCCCCAGAAGGAGGTGACACTCATCTAGGTTGGCAGGTCCTCAGCTTTAGACTTTGGGGTTCCTTTTTGGTGAACTAGAGTAGATGGACTGTGACCTCCCATGGCCTTCCCATCTTGAAAACCTGGAGAAATGGCTTAGGAGTGAGGTGGTAGAATTAAAATCTTCTAAATTTTTTTGTTTAAATTATGGCAAAATACACATACCATAAAGTGTATCTTGACCATCTTTCAGTGTCTGGCTCAGTGGTAGAAAGCACATTCATTTTGCTGGGTAATCAGTCTCCACAGCTCTTTTCATCATGTCCAAAAACGAAACATTTGTAATGACAATCCCTCATTCCTCTTCCCTCCAGCCCCTGGTATCCAGCACTCCTCTTTCTGGATAGGACCACTCCAGGTACCTCATATGAGAAAAAAGACAACCTTTGTCTTTCTGTGACTGCTTCACTTCACTTAGCCTCCACACGATAGGCTTTCCTTTCCTTTTAAGGCTAGTAGGTCATTTAGTGAACTGTCATTAGGGTCACGGTTATACTGCTCGTGGTGGCGGGGGGTGGGGGGGGGGCTTCTTTCATGGTGCCAGGCTGCCGCTCACATCGTAGTGTCCTTTCCACACATGAATTTTGCATCCTGTCAAACGCTGGTTGAATTTCCAGCAAGTGATAGAGTCTGATTACCCTTGGTTGATAGGACTGTTGTTACAGTTCTGATAAAGATTCCATTTTATTCCCATGTAAAGGATTTATGGGGAGGTGGCGGGCTGGCGAGAGCTTTGTTTCCATCCTTAGTATTCAGAGAGGGCTGCCGAAGAAGACCAGGCCATCTGTGTGTTCCTGGCCTCCTTTCCATCCCCATCCCCACCTCATCTTCTGCCCTGGAGCTAGAGGGACTAGGTGGGGGTGGGACTGACTCTGGGTCACTGAGCCTTGGCATGTAGGCCCCAGGCCAGGGGTGGTTTGTTCAAGCCCTGAGGGCACAGCGTGGAGAAAGGGGATCCATTTGCTGCACACAGAGGGGTGTGGAGACTAGAGCTGCCACTGACCTCCTGCTGGCTTAGCCCTGCCTCCTCCACCCTTGTAACCTCTCAGGAAGTATCTAAGAACAACGTTCTCTCTGTAGCTCCCCCTCCCCAATAGTCTTACTAAAATCCATATCTGTCAGACTCTCCTGCCTAAAGCTCTGACTTCCGGGCTTGACTTACACCTCCTATCCCTGTAGACCAACCTCATGCCTCCCCACTTTCTCTTCATACTCCAGCCAAACAGCACCCAGAGGTGGCTCCAGGGGAGCCTGTTCTGCTAGGTTCTGAGCTCCTGTATGAGCTGCTGCTCCTAGCACATTCATCTCCTTCCCCTTTCCTGGCTCAGTCTTTAGGCTTTGGCAGCCATGTTTCTAAGAGGCTTTGCCTGAGGCTTACAGGAGTGTGCCTGTGTCACCTCCTTCATAGGGGACAGAATGACCCCTCCAAGACCACAAGGCATCTACCACCTCCTCCCTGGAGTCTGTTAACTTAACACCTTCCATGGCCAGAGGGACTCCCCATGAGAGCCAGTTAAGCCTCCCGAGGTGGGAAGGTTCTCCTGGATTAACCAGGTGGGCCCACATCATCTCAGTGCCCTTTGAGGAAGGAGGCAGAAGGATCAGCAACAGGAAAAGGTGATGTGATTAGAAGATGCTCCCTTGTGGCTTTAAAGGTGGTGGAAGGGAGCATGAGCTGAAGAATGCAGGTGGCCTCTGGAGAGGGCAAAGGTGATTCTCTATGAGCACCTCTGGAAGGACAGCAGCGACCATCATTCTGACCTCCAGAACCTTAAGATAATAAGTCTGTGCTGTTTGAAGCTGCAAGTGTATGGTCACAACAGTGATTCTGTGCCCTGGGATCAGCCTGGTAACAACGTGAAGGGAGCAGGAGTGGGCTGCGATGCCATCAGTGCAGAGGCCTCAGCTGGTCCCCGGGGGCCCTGTGGCCTGGCTCAGAGAGGGGACTCGGTTAGTGCGGAATACTTGTGCCTGCCCACATCTGCACAGCCTGTTCAGGCTATGGAAGTCGACAAGTCAGAGCTGGGGCAGACTGTTCTAGAAGCTATTGCAGGCCTGACTCTCTATGCTCTTCAGGGTATGGGATGGGACTTGGCAGCCTGCTGCCCCCAGAAGTTTTCCTCCAGGTCCTCAAATGCTGTCTCTTCTCCCTCTTGCAGGTTAACCTGGTGCTGGGAGATGGACGATCCCTGGGCCTCACCATCCGAGGGGGAGCCGAGTATGGCCTGGGCATTTATATCACGGGTGTGGACCCGGACTCTGAAGCAGAGAGCAGTGGGCTCAAGGTGAGGACCTGGTTCCCACAGAGGGGATGGGGTGCTAGGGATACATGCTTGGGGGTGAGGGCGGGACAGATCTATGCCTGTGGAACTCTTTACAGCTGATTCTGTTGGACTTCCAGCAGTGTTTACAGCACCCCACCCGGGAGTCCTCCCTGAGTGCCTCAAATTCACAGCTCTGGGAGAGAGGCAGGAGATATTCCCCTCTGCCACCCCCCCCACTCCCCCCCTCCCCTGAACTCTCCAGCTCTCCTCAGTGCAGGGCAGCCTCCCACGTGGTGCTGGGCAGCGGGCCAGCCCGGCTCTTGATGGCTGCTATTTTGCAAACATGCTGATGGCCTATGATGGCCTTGACTTGAGGGTTTATTATGGTGCATGGAGAAGGAAGAGGAGAGAAAGCTGAGAACTGGGTGGGAGTTGCACTGGGCTGCTCCAGGGCTGGCATTCAGTCCAGGGCAACCAGCAATTATTGAAATAACATTAACTCAGATTTTAAAGAGGGCTAACTGTATGCTCGGTCTTCATAATCAACTTCACGCCTGTCATTCCCCTGAACCCTCATGCTACCCTGTGGGATGGCTTGTTATCACCTACATTTTCCAGCCAGGGGAACTGAGGCCTAGGGAGATTAAACAGACTCCCACCGTCACACAGCCCACGGCGGCAGAGCAGGATCAGAGCCCAGGCAATCTGAAATCTAAAGCCCCCGCCTAAACAGCCACGTTGTACTGCCTGCCAGGCAGTGCCAGGAACTTACTCAGAGCTTGGGGGGAGGTGATGGTGAAGGGGTCTGCCCACAAGGACACTGGACCAGGACCCAGATCACCTAAAAAAAGGACGACTGTGTTTGGGCTAAACCTGGGGCTGGGTGTCCAGGGTCAGTGATAGGGAGCAGGGACCAATGGCCACAGGTGCATTTGACCTGGGTCTTGCAGGATGAGGGAGGTGATAATGGGTAAAGGGGCTGGGGAAAAAGGGGGAGTTCCTGAAGGAGCATGGGGTTTGACCACAGGTGCTAGGTGGGATGCTACATGTGAGGCCCGAATGAAGCACGAGATTGAGATTGAGTCTTTCTAGCACAGGGTTTTGAATGCCACCCCATTCTGTCCCTGGGGCAGGCAACTGGAGTGGTAGAGGGCCCCGGGGTCTGCCTGGTTCTTTGAGGAATGTGGTACAGTGACTTGAGCTCTGGGTGTGGAGTCAGGAAGTCTGGCCTCACATCTTGGCCTTGCTGCTTTTGTTTTAATAACCCTGTGACCTTGGAGAGTCCTTCTACCTGACTGAGCTGCCCTTTCTTTCCCAGATAATCAAAATAAGTAACATTTCTTTCTCAGGATTATTTAAAAAATGAAAAAAGGAAAGATTCACAGTGGCATTAATAATGAGGTTCACTGATTGAGTGTCTGTGTCATGCACAGAACATTTGTGTACTGCCCCTCCCCCCGCTCAGTTCTTAAGTTGAAACCCTGCACTGTGGAGTTTGTTTGGTGGTACTGGAGGCAGGGCCTTGGGAGGTGACTTAGTCCTGAGGGTGGGGCCTTAAGGGTGGGGTCAGTGCATGTGTCTAGAGAGCATTCTGCCGGGTCTGTCACTTGAGGACGTAATGAGAAACCTGCAACTTCTCAGACGTCCAGTCTCCAAACTTTGAGAAATAAGCTTTGATGGAAGCCCCCCAGTCTGTGGCCTTCTGTGACAGCCCCTGGCTGACTGAGGCCCCTGACTCTCCTGTCATTAAACTATTTCAACCTCACAGCACTCCTGTGAAAGCAGGTTCTTCTGTTAGCCTGCTTCACAGGTGTGCTGAGACTCAGAGAGCCTTATGGCCAGTAAGAGGCCCAACCGGATTTCCATCCAGGAGCAGGGATTCTGGTTCGACAGCTGTCTGGCCCCCGAGCCTGCTGGTGGGTAACAGAGGCGCACGGGTGCTGGTGGGCCTGGTGGACTCTTCTCTGCTCTGGGTTGGTCTCCATGCTGTGATCTCAGCAGTAAAGATACTTTATTGGGACTCTGAGAGGAAACAGTCTCGTAGTATTTTCTGTGTGGATTTGGTTTAATAAATGTGCTGTTTTGGAATAATTTTAGAGAGAGTTCCCATGTCCTTTATCCATTTATCTCTAATTTCACATCTTACATGGCCAAGGTGCACTTGTCAAGACTAAGAAATTAACACTGGACCACACTGTTAAACTACAAGTGTAATTCAGAATTGGTCTCTTTTCCACTGAGGTCCTTTTTCTGTTTTAGGATACTGTCCAGTCCAGCCTACCACATTGAATTTAGTCTGGATGCAGTTGTAGTTCTGTTTCTTTTACCCCAAAAAAATTCAAAAAAGATTGCAGGCCATTCCTAAACAGAGTTTTTAAATGAACACAGATGCTTTTTAAATGAACAAATGGGAAAATTTGGAGAAAATAAATAGGGGTGGAGGGAAAGAGAAGCTAGGGGGAGGATTCCCCCCACCCCGAACACTGCTGTGAGGGGCTGCAAACCCAGCCACACGCAGGACACAGATTGGACTTTCAGTTTCCTGGCAGCCAATGAAAAAGGGAAGCTGGTCGGTAGGATGAAAATTTGTTGGATGAAAATAGGCCATCTGTGTTTGAGGGGCCTAGTTGTTCCTCTTTCTGAGACCTGGGAGCAATTTTCCATTGGTCTTGCTGAGAGACTATGTTGGGTGATACTGAAAGTGGTGTCTCCCTTCTCTCTCCCCCTCCCTCTCTCTCCCCCACCTCCCCCTATCTTTTCCTCATTACTGACAGGTATTAGCTCTTATTATCTTGTTATCCATTTACTAAGCAGTTACTATGTCTGGGATGTACTAAATGCTTCACAATTGTTATTTTATCTATTTTTTGCAACATATGAAAACGGAATGTTCCTATTCCTAACATTACAGGTGGCAGATTCAGGAGCAATGCTAAGCAACTCGTCCAGAATTGTCAACTAAGAAGTGCTACAGCAGGGAGTTCAACCCCCACAGGCACACTCTAAGGCCATGTATTAACCACTAGGCCCCGCTGCCTTCCAGTGGCAATATGGGTGTTATGTCCCCATTTTACAGCTGAAGAAACTGAGTCTCATTGTATTAAAGGTCAAATTCTTTCTAATACCAGATCTGGAATTTGAACCAGTCCCGCGGAGATAGGGGTTGCCTCGCATAGGGGAGGGCATGAACCCGAGGCTCTGGCACTCATGAGCTGAGTGAGGATAGACATGTTTTTCCCCCTCTCTGCATCTAGCTCTCCCTGCTTGGCCAGAGAGCAATTGAACGGTTGGGTTAGATGATCTACAAGACTTTCTCATAGATTTGCACATCTTCCTGGACAGAGAGAGCTACAGGTGCCCAGGCACCAGGAACTTTCTCCATTCTCCATCACTACAGGTTCCCATATCCACAAGGAGATGCCCACACAGGTCACACTCTGGCAGGCCCCTTTTTGGTATGGAAGGAAGAAGGATATGGGCATTACATGCAGGTGTCCATGCTGCCCCTGCTCCCCTTCCCTTTGCTTAGTCAGCGAATGTATACTGATCACTCCTGTGTGCCAGGCACTGGGCTTGCCAGGCACTGAAGCTTCTAAGCTGAGCAAGACGGACACAGTCTTTTACTTTCTAATGAAAAAGCAAGGAGAGATATTATACAGTTGTTTGCTGAATTATAATTGTGACAGATACCACTATGGTGAAGCACATGAAACCAAGTGAGTGCACAAAAGGGGAACCCAACCCCGGTATTGGTTATCTGGGAAGGCTTCCTGGAGGAGGAAATATTTCCATTGGAATTTGAAAAAAGAGAAGAAAATTATCTAAAAGAGGAAATGAGAATATCAGGCAGAAAGAGCAGCAAATGCTAAGTCCCTGAGGTGGGAAAGAACTGTGCTTGGGTCAAGGAGACATCAGTGTGGCTGAATGCCTAAATCCTTGTAGGATGAAGGTGCTGGCCTTTGCTGACCATGAGGACAGTTTCAAATCACACAGGGTGTGTAACTTACCTAAAGCTCTGCAGGCATGAAAAGGTGATGCGAGAGATCTACTGCTATTAATATGGAAGGATGCCCACGGTCTATTATTAAGTGGGAAACACAGGTTGTAAAACTGCATATCTAATTCATTGTTATGTCATATGTATGTGAAAATATGCGCAGAGAAACAACTAGTCCCACCTCTACCAAAATGTCAACTATGGTTATGTCGAGGTGGCAACCTTATGAATGATTTCTACTTTGTTCTTTACATCCTTATTCAGTATCCGGATGGAGCGAGCATTACTTTTATAATCATGAAAATAGCAACAAATAAACGAATTCTATTTTGAAACAAGGCAGGGGAAAAATATTCCAAAGAAGTTTCCCAGTCACTTTAGTTCACCTCTCTGTGGCAGGCAAAGGCTTTATTTGCTCATAAAATGCCTGCCTTCGGTAAAGTCCTTTCCATCCTCAGTCCCCACTGCAGTAAAGCATTTTATATTCCCTGCCATTATTTTCCCCTCCAAGGTCCCCGGGATACGCTAACACCTGCCTACATTCACATGGGCATCCAGGACTGATTAATTCCGTTTATTGCCAATGCACTTTCAGTGGAATTAGGCACATTGAAATGGAATAAAGGGGTTTGGCTGTGTGGGTGGAGGAGCCAAGAACAGGCTTTATTTGTAAATAGGGCTTCTTGCTGCTGTGCAGGTTTCCCGGGGTGAAAATGCTGCCTTTCCTGGCTTCCTGCCGCTCACTTAGCCCCCGAGACCCCTGGGAGCCCAGGGGAAGGGCAGGTCAACCCTGTTGCAGGGAGAACTTTCAGGAGGAGGTTAGGCAGGGCCTGCTTTTACCCTGGGGACCACTTGGGGATAAGGACTTCTCCCACTCTGGAGGTAAGGGTTGACACGCCCTTCAGCATTTATCTTAGAGCTCTTATCCCTTTACACCTGCCCCACAGCCTCAAAGCCCGCTGAAGAATAGATCATAAAATCTTGTTTCTTTAAGGACAGTGGAGATTGACTGACATTTAAAAAT